TTCCCATCCTATGCAGGATATCGTGAGGAAGGCGAGATGAGTCCCGATGATTGTGCATCTCCTGGCGAATCTGACTCACCGCACCCGGTAGAACAGCCTGCAGAGACCGCCCATGTTGGGGAGCCAGTCAATGAAGGACCCAGTTCGATGAACCCAGGTACATCTTCAAGAGGTAACTTGTCTTTATTGGCCATAGTTTCCTTCCTCTTCCCTCATACTTATATCTTTTCATGTCAGATTTTTCGATTGATGACTTCGATGGGGAGGGCCTGCCTGTGGACACTTCTATGTTCAACTTCATGTATGATTCTCCTCAGATCGATGGCCAGCCGCCTCAGGATATGTTTCCTGAGTCTGTACTCCCTCAGACTCCCGGAAACGGTTATTTTGAAGGTGCGTGCCTCTTCTCAAGCTAACTATAGGACTAGCCAATTCTTTGACTAATGCAAATATGATGTTTCTGTTTTGTGCCTAACAGGGGCTTTTGTTGAGGCTGACCCTGTTGAGCCGGCTGTACGACCAACTCCACCAGTCGATAGCTACAGTCGTTACATCTCCACTACCCCCAGTGACTCGAGGGGAAGGAGGTATAATTTAATTAACTGAGTAATGCCATTCATTTCCTCATTGAGGCTTTTGACGAATTTCACTTCTTTGTGTAGGGCTTCCTTCTCAGCTTCATGTCCTCGTGAAGGAGTTGTTATCGGGGAATGACCCTGAGAAGATCATCATCAGCGTAGAAGTCCGCTCTTATTTCTCCTCCCTGAATGCTATAATTGGCAAACTCCTCCACGACAGACTTTCTCTTCGCCAGTTTAAACCCTACCTTGATTCCAAGATAAATTTGATAAGGGACATAGGATATCCGGATCTGGCGACGGCTATGGTTGATGACCTTGATCGCTTAGAGCGTGAGCTTCAGATGTTTCATGAGCTCCGGGATGCAGGTGCCTCTTCATTCGTTGCTGCCGAGTTGGATGCTCGCTTACAGACATGGCGCAGTACTCGGATGGTTGCCGAGCTCGAGATTCAGGTGCAGCGGGGCCGAATAGATCGAGTTGAGGCTGACCTTGCCACTAGATCATCTTCACTTGAGGAGCTTGATTCTCAGATAGATCAGCTCCGACGAGAACTCCGTGAGAAGGAAGACGCAAAGATGCAAAATCAGCAAGCACATGCTGCTTTATCTGATGAGCTGAAGTCCTTGAAGCAGACACTGGCTGAGACAGAGGAGGTTGCTGTGAGGACTTTAGCCGCGAACGAAGAGTCTGTCAGAGCTGAGTTGCAGGAGGAGCTTAGACGCTCTTATGATGAGAAGCTGTCTGAATTCAGTCAGCAGGTTCTTAGCCATGGGCTTGATGTATGATTTTATTTGCTGAAAACCTTGACATTTGATTCTCTTTAATGGAACTGATTTATCTTTATCTTTATTATGATTCCTCACTTCGTTTGAAATGATTGACCATAATACTCATGGAATTTTTGGCAAACCCCCAGCCTTCAACGGGTTTGATTAGCCTTTACCGACTACCGTTTGAGTCGGGCTAGCATGCGGATTGTCGGAATCCGTTCCGCATGTAACGTTGTGCTAAGGGAATGAACTCCCTTAGACTTCGTGCTATGATGTCGAATACATAGACTTCGCCATTGTTACGGGAATAGGCTACCCGGCGACACGTGTTAGGTGTTGACTTTAGGATTTTTGGCTAACCCCCAGCCTTCAACGGGTTTGATTAGCCTTTACCGACTACCGTTTGAGTCGGGCTAGCATGCGGATTGTCTAACTCCGTTCGCATGTAACGTTGTGCTAAGAGAATGAATTCTCTTAGACTTCGTGCTATGATGTCGAATACATAGACTTCGCCATTGTTACGGGAATAGGCTACCCGGCGACACGTGTTAGGTGTTGACTTTAGGATTTTTGGCTAACCCCCAGCCTTCAACGGGTTTGATTAGCCTTTACCGACTACCGTTTGAGTCGGGCTAGCATGCGGATTGTCTAAATCCGTTCCGCATGTAACGTTGTGCTAAAGGAATGAAATCCCTTAGACTTGATGCTACGACTTCGAATACGTAGACTTCGCCATTGTTACGGGAATAAGCTACCCGGCAACACGTGTTAGGTGTTGACTTTATCCCTACTTAGGTTTCGGGATAAAATACCCCAGACTGGTATTCTGGTGTCTTTTTCTACGGCGAAAGACTAAACCGGCGACGCGTGTTAGGCGTCGGCATATCCCTTCTTAGGATTCAGGATGACATTCCCCATGCGTGTAAGGCATGGATTTTGGTGTTATTAATAACAACCTGCCGCAATGTTGAATATGCGGACGAGTGTTCTTTTTAACGGTTAAGAACTAACCGGCAGCGCAGGTTAAGCGCAGACTTATCCTTGCTTAGGTTTCAGGATAAAATACCCCAGAATCAGACTCTGGTGTCTTTTTGTGCGGAAAAAGACTAAACCGGCAGCGCGTGTTAGGCGCAGACTTATCCCTGCTTAGGATTCGGGATAAACTTCCTAGGATGAATCCTAGATTGATAGATTCTTAGAAAAGGTTGGTGCGGGAAAGGAAGAATTTTATATTCTATTTCCCGGTCTTCTTTTAGGGTGAAGGCGAACCCAACAGACAAGGAAGGAAGAATTTTATATTCTATTCCCTGATTCTGGAAAGGAAGAATTTTATATTCTATTTCCAGCGAAGAAGAAACTAGAAGTGGGGTGTCCACTCCGAGAATCTGGAAAATTTAGATAAACTTGCCTTTTATAGGATGAGTTATCTAAACTGAAAATGGGTCCTTCGTTTATCGAAGTGGTATTTTCAACTCCGGTTATAACCATGAACAAGGTTTAACCAAAGAGAAAAAGGGAAGGAGTTCTTTCGTTTATCGAAAAGGGACTCCGAACTGAAAGTGGACCTCTTGCTCATGGAGAGAATCAAGAGGGCCAGAAAAAACATTTTTGGTGGACCCACTGTCAATTGAAATTGATCAGTGAGGGATTTTGGTGGTGACAATGATTTTGGGTTATCCTCTAGAATATTAAGTGTAATATTCTTCAAGGAACTTCCCGGTAAACGAGTTATCCTGAATGTACTAGGGATAGTACTTTTTCAGGAACTTCCCATTTATTGGCATTAATTGCCTGGCGCCCTCTTGAGTAATCAGGCGATATGCGCCGTTTGAATAGACTGTGTCTATTACAAACGGTCCTTCCCATTTGGGTTCGAATTTACCTTTCTTCTTGGAGGTGAGAATTATTGGTCGGCGAGCAGCGAGGACCAGATCTCCTTCCTTGAAGCTTCTCTGCCATTCCCTGATGATGACGCATGGGTGGACGACGACTTGGAGGCAGGGGAGGATGTGAGAGAATCGGTGCCACGGTCGGTCTCAGATGGCAAAAGGGGGTCTTCGTCGGTCTTGGAAGGCGAGGGAGGATCTTCGTCGGTCTTGGAAGGCGACGGCGAGTCTTCTCGCTCGTCGTTCATTGGTGCATGTTCCTGACGTTGCAGCGGCGGCGGAGGATGGTGAACCACTTCGTATTCGTTCGCCGATTTTTTCTCCATCTGCGAACTGGTTTCGACCTAACCCTAGAAGCGGATTTTGGTTTTTCGCCGGAGAGTAAGCCAGAGACAGAGTGCGGGAGGGAGAGAGAGGAGAGAGAGAGAGCGCCTCGATAGTAGCGGAGTGGGCGGCACCGTTACCAACGCACGATGGCTGTAGCAGAGTGGGCGGGAAGGGTAGATTCGGGATTCTGCGGGTTGAGTGAGCTGGAGGGGCTAAAATGAAGTTTTGGAGTGTATTTTGGGTTTATACCAAACTTTAAAAGTACATGGGGCTGTTACACATTGTTTTTTCAAGTTTGGGGCCTTGAAGCAATTTTTCCTAAAATCAAACAACAACAAAAAAAAAAAAATTCTAAAAGAGAG